GGTGCCATCTTGGGGGCTGGTTACCTCTCTTATTACCTACACTAGTTAATGAGGCCCTTTTTTCCCTAAAACCAGAAATTTGGGAATCATCCTGGACATCCTGGCTGTTCCACCTGCCTTCAGTCAACCATTAAGCCTTACACATTTTGCCTCATTAACATTTCTCATGTTCATTCCTTCTCCTTCATACTCATGCTGCTGGGAAGACTCCCTGCTACAATCATCCTCTATCCTTCCACCAGTTTTTAAAATGCAGATCGAGGGCTGGAGATGTACCTCAGTGGTAGGATGCTTGCCCAGTGTCTGAGAGACTCAGAGTTCAGTCCCCCTCACTGGAGAACGAAAACAAAAGCAGATCTGTTGAGAGCCACAGCTGAAGGGGTCCGAGCAAACTTCCAGCTGCCTGCAAACTTCCAGCTGCCGGCTGATTATTGGCTCACAGCGGCCCCAGCAACATCTAGCTGATTGGCTCCTCTATGGTGATGCTCATTGGGCTGTTTCCCTGCCCTTTCAGACCACAGAGCTGCTCATTGGGGGACTTCTTTGGCTCCGCCCACGTGACCCAGCCAATTGGCCTCAAGAGCAGGAGGATTGTGAGAGTGGGAGAGGCTTGTGTTTTTGTGAGAGAGGCTTGTGGGAAGCCGGTGGTGGCATTTGGGCTCTGAGGGATTTTCCTGAGGAGCTGTTTTGTTTGGCATGTGTGGTTCTAAAAATAAAGTTCATTTCTTTTGACAAGTGGCTCCTGAATCGTGCCCAGCCAGACTGCAGCACAGATCCAATTATGTTTTTGCCCAGCTGAAAACTCCTTCAATGTAATGCCATTGCTTGTAGGTAGGACAGAGGGCAAATCTCTTGGTGTGTCATGAATTACACTCTTTCTCCTTTTTCTATTTCTTCTTCTTTAAATATCAGTTCACATTTAATAGTTAAATAATATTAATTTCCAGTATACAAAGTAACTAGCCATTAAGCAAATATAAAAATGTTACAGGTAAGATGTTAAGAAGATGCACACAAGACTCATTTTAAAAAGCCATAGTTAAAAAGTAGTGGTTAACCCTACATGTTCTCTAGAAAGAAGTATTATCCAAATTCTTGCATATTATGTTGCATTTTTGGCTATCCTTTCAGACACACCCATCCATTCCCCAATTTTCCTGTAAATCCATTCATTAATAGACATTTATTGAGTGCATATTTTCAACATAGACTGTTTTTGGTGTTGCTGATTAGAGCTAAACAAAGTAGACTTGGTTCCCACTGACTTGGGGCTTATGGCTTCATTATTTAAACATGACCCTGCACACATTTACAACACCTGACACCTGCCTAGTAGTGAAGACTTTCAGAGGTGAAATGCTGGATTTAAGCCACAGAATCAGGTCTTTATAAATGTGTCTTAGATACTAATAACAGAATTAGACTGCTAGCAATATCACAGACTTTGTTGCTTTGGGACAAAATGTCCTGAAAGAACTATAACTCTGATTTTTTAAAATTTAATTTAATTTTTTACACAAATGGTGCCCAGTGTTTCATTTCTCTGGTTGTACGTAATGTCTGTCTTATTCCAACATCTTCCCCCACTACACATACACCCTCTCATCCCTCTCTCTCCTCTGGCCAATCCTAAATTCCTCCATTCTTTCCTTGCCTCTCCACCCCCATTATGAATCAGCATTCATCAAAGAAAACATTTGGCCTTTGTTTTTTTGGCATCGGTTTACTTCATTTAGCATGATATTCTCCAGCTCCATCCATTTACCTGCAAATGCCATAATTTCATTCTTTAAGGCTGAGTAATATTCCATTGTGTATATATACCACAGTTTCTTTATACATTCAGCTATAAGGGGCATCTAGATTGGTTCCACAGTTTAGCTATTGTGAATTGAGCTGCTATAAACATTGATGTGACTGCATCACTGTAGTACTCTGATTTTAAGTTCTTTGGGTGTAGACTGAGGAGTGGGAGAGCTGGGTCAAATGCTGGTTCCATTCCAAGTTTTCTAAGGAATCTCCATACTGCTTTCCACAGTGACTGCACCAGTTTGCAGTCCCACCAGCAATGAATCAGTGTACCTTTTCTCCCACATCCTTGCCAGCACTCATGTTGTTTGAATTCTTTTTTTATTTATTTTTTACTTATAGGTGGACATAATATCTTTATTTCAGTTTTATGTGGTGCTGAGGATCCAACCCAGTGCCTCACACGTGTAGGGAAGCTCTCTACGACTGAGCCACAACCCCAGTCCCTTGAATTCTTGATAATTACCATTCTAACTGGAATGATATAAAATCTTAGGGTGGTTTTGATTTGCATTTCTCTAATTGCTGGAGATGTTGAACATTTTTTCATATATTTGTTGATCAATTGTAATCTTCTGTGAAGTGTCTTCCCAGTTCCTTAGCCCATTTTTTGTTTGGGTTCTTTATTTCTTTGGTGTTAATCTTTTTTTTTTTTTTTTTAAAGTTCTTTATATATCCTGGAGATTAGTGCTCTATCAGATGTGTGTGTGGTAAAGATTTTCTCCATTTTTATTGGCTCTCTCTTCACATTATTGATTGTTTCTTTTGCTGTAAAGAAGCTTTTTAGTTTGAATCCATCTCACTTATTGATTCTTGATTTACTTCTTGTGCTTTAGGAGTCTTGTTTAGGAAGTCAGGTCTTAGGCTGACATGATGAAGATTTGGCCTACTTTTTCTTGTATTAGGAGAGGATTCTCTGGTCTAATTCCTAGGTCCTTGATCCACTGTGAGTTGAGTTTTGTGCATGATGGAGATAGAGGTTTAATTTCATTTTTCTGCATATGGATTTCCAGTTCTCCCAGCAGCATTTGTTGAAAAGTCTCTTTTTTCCAATGTATGTTTTTGACACCTCTGTAACTCTGATTTTAAAACAGAAAGTTAGGTCAGGTACAAAAACGTCTTTTGAGAAGCTCAGGGAATGAAAAATATTTGTTTTTTATAATACACAATAAAACTGCCGTGGCACCTGTGCCTTCTATAAATATACTGTAGAAAATAACTCTGAAGGGCTGGGGATATGGCTCAAGCGGTAGCGTGCTCACCTGGCATGCGTGCGGCCCAGGTTCAATCCTCAGCACCACATACCAACAAAGATGTTGTGTCCGCCGAGAACTAAGAAAAAATAAATAAATATTAAAATTCTCTCTCTCTCTCTGTGTGTCCCCCTCTCTCTCTCACACTCTCTTTAAAAAAAAAAAAGAAAAAGAAAATAACTCTGAACACATGAACGGGTTCTTCATTTATCTGGTTTCTTTTGGAAATTCTCAGTGTCTTTTCTTCTTTGGTTCCCCTGGTTTCCTGGTTTTTGTTCTCAGAACTTTTGTTACTTCTTTGCTGTCTGTGCTGGCTTCCTTCTATTCTCAGTGTTCTGGAAGCATGGCCCTGACCCAGAGGGAGTGACAGCACAGTGAAGGGACATTGACCTTTCTTTTCTTTCTCGTTTTTGCTTGAAGAAGCAAAACAAAAGTCTTTATGTTAGTAGAAAGACATCGTTTATTTTTAGCAAGTTATTGGTGGTGGAAATTTTGGGAAGGATTTGGCTTCTTTAGATGAGTATCCACTTTCTTTGTCATCTTACTTCAGCCAAATCAAACACGTGGGTGATTTTTAACTTTTTCAGTTCTTTAGGTTTCTCTAGTTCTTCTGCTTTGACCAGCAGTTTACCTGATCCCATTTCTTCAGTCTCCTCTGCTGTCTTAACTGTGTACAAGGCAGTTCTAATTTTGGTCTGGTGTCATTGAGGAATCTGGCCCAGAGCTCATCCTCCTTTTTTCTTGCATATGCTGACCCAGTACACTTTTGATTTCTTTGCTAGACTAAAAATTAGTGGAGTATTTATCTTTGTAGCTCTGCATCTAAGTGCCTGCCATATAGTAGTTGCTCAATAAATATTTATTAAGTTGAAGTTCAGTGTCTGGATTAGATTAATCTTTTTTTTCACCTCCTGATGCTGGCGATTGAATTTAGGGCATGGCACATGCTAAGAATACATTCTTCCACTGAACTTTACATCTATCTGTTCCATAGTCAGGAATCTTAAGACAGCTTTTCACTAGAATGTACTGGTAGATAGTTTGTGTTCCATTTTTTTGTTTGTTTTTTGGGACCAGGGATTGAGCTCAGGGGCACTTGACCACTGAGCCACATCCTCAGCCCTGTTTTGTATTTTATTTAGAGACAGGGTCTCACTGAGTTGTTTAGTGCCTCACTTTTTGCTGAGGCTAGCTTTGGACACACAATCCTCCTGTCTCAGTCTCCTGAGCCACTGGGATTATAGTTGTGAGCCACTGTGCTCAGCTTGTGTTCAGTTTTTGATCATGTGAAAACTCTGAAAATGCTGTATTAGGTATCAAAGAAAGTGGAATAAGGAAGGAAAATATTAGTGTAGACACACTGTGTTGCAGGATATATGCCCACTCCATTATCTGCCTGATATCATTTAAATCTTTGTAATAGTTCCATGTTAAAAATAACTGTAAAAGGTCACTTTATGGATGAGATATTGGTAAAGTTTAAAATAGGTGCCAGGAATATTAATAAAAGATACAAAGCTCCCACAGAATTCTAAACCCTGATTGGCTTGGCTGTGAAGTCAAGTGTCTGATGGCCTCAGAGAATTTTAAAGGATAACTGGGCTTATGTGATGTTCTATTGTGTAGGATTGGTGGCTTGGAGCCTACCTTCTATTTGATCTCTATTTAGTAGGTTATTGTTTTTTCCTTGTATGTTTTCAAACTTCCCAACACTGGTAATCTAATCCTGTACCTGAGTAATTAGTCCTACAATAGTTTTTTTTTTTTTTTTTTTTTTTAAGCAAAACTTTTGATTGTTGTTGAATAATGATGTCTAATGTTTGATATTTAGTGTGCTGAGTATAAAAGGTAATTATTAATAAGAAAATACAATTCATAGACAATTTTTATTGTGCTGAACAAATTAAAACTAATGGTCTCTTTTTTTCTTCTCCTCAGCTGACGAAGAATTTGATGAACTATGTTTTGAATTTGGTCTGGAACTTGATGAAATTGTATGTATTAGATACTTATTTTTCAGATATTCTGAATATGAGCTCATTTTTCTGAGGTTGCTTATCTTTGTTACCTTATAGTTAGACTATGATGATTCATCTTTGGACTGTGGTGTTTTTAGTGTTCAGAGAAAATTACTTTGCCTCTCTAGTTCTCATATTTTAGACTCTGTTCAATTGTGAAGTAAGGAGTTTAGATTATATCATCTTGATACATCCCTCTTGCTCTCAAATTTATCTTCACATATGGTCTTTTTAAAAAAATTAATTAATTAATTTTGTTTGTGCAGAATGTATCATATTGCCTAGCACAAAGTTACGTATGATCTTTTGATAAAATAAGATACTGAAAATTGACATCATTATCCAAAGTACATGTATGAAGACACGAATCTGGTGCCAACCTACTTTATATACAGAGATATGAAAAATTGTGGTATATATGTGTAATAAGAATTGTAATGCAAAAAAAAGTACATGTATAAAGACATGAATTGGCGTGAACATACTTTATACAAAGATATGAAAAACTGTGCTCTATACATGTAATGAGAATTGTAATACATTTTGCTGTCATGTATTTAAAAAGAAAAGATACTGAAAATTGAAAGATTTAAGCTGTTCACACGTGTGTGCGCGTATGGCTGCATACTCCAAAAGAATTAGGCCATTTTATATTCAGATACCTTTGTTTATCTGGTTCCCATATTATGGTGGTTTGAACGAGTCATGTGGTGGCTGTGGGAGGGCATCACGTAAAACCAAAGTTTTTATGTTAATAGAAAGCCATTATTTATTTTTAAACAAGTTATTAGTGGTGGAAATTTTGTGAATTCTTGTTAAGTGGGATTTCTAAATAAAGGGTAACAATAACAGTTGGATGTAACATAATTATTTTGATTGAAAAATTTATATTTGAAATTCTCTGTTGTAGACACAGCAAATAGAAATATATTCTCTACTATAATGTGGTGAATAAGGTACTCTAAGCTTTGCCACTGCATTAAAAATTGCTACCCTGTGATGTTCCTCCTCCTTCTCTTGGTTGCCTTCATTCTGCTGTCTTTACAGTATATCTTTACTGTCACTAGATTGTACCTATTATGCTAATTCTCATTCATACCTTCTGATGATCACTTTCCTCCCCTGGAGAGGTTTTTGTTTGCTTTTATATTATCAGTCATTCTCATATTCCTGCTGGGCTTGGGTGCCCAGAAGATTTCAATTTGGGATTTTTGTTTTTTTGCAGTGCTGGGGATCAAACCCAGGGCTTCATGCATGCTAGGCAAATGCTTGACCACTAAACTATACCCAGCTCAGGATTTAGATTTGGAATGGAATCTTTATCATATAACAAGTTGTATTCTTTTTTTTTTTTCCTTCTCAGTACAGGGTATTGAACCGAGTGGTGCTATGAGCCACATCCCTAGCCCTCAGCTAAGTTGCTCAAACTGGCCTAGAACTTGCGATCTCCCTGCTTCAGTCTCTGGAGTTGCTGGGACTTCAGTTGTGTCCCACTGCACCCAGCTAGAAATACATTCTTTTATTTGATGATTTATCTTTCTTTCTTTGACATTTTGGTTATTGTTCTGTGTTTCTTTCTTTGACACTTCCATTATTGCTCTTGGTGGTGCCTTCATGTTCTTTTAGATAGAGATGGCAAACTTTTTCTGTAAAGGTCCAGATAATAAATAAGTTAGGCTTTGGAGGTTATTATTTCAGTTATACTTCAGCTATTGTACTGTGTGATAACAGATAATATATAAATGAATGGGTCTGTCTTCCAGTAAAATTTTATTTGGAAAAGCAGATGCTAGGCAGGAGTTGACTAGTGGGTATTTGTTGACATTTTCTTTAGTTGGATTTGTGCTGTTCTGGAATCACTGAGGATCCTACATGTCTGAACTGAATAGGAATTTGAGTATTTTTCTGTCAGCTCCAATTATAGCATTTAATATTTTAATGTTATTTTTGTTGTAGATGTAATAAACCTATTGTTGAAGAGAGGAATGTGCATAATGTAGTTTTATTAACCTTTTCACTTTGATTTGGCTTGTTTTAGACATCTGAAAAGGAAATAATAAGTAAGGAACAAGGTAATGTGAAGGCAGAGGGGGCCTCTGATGTTGTTCTTTACAAAATCGACGTTCCTGCCAATAGATATGATCTCCTGTGTCTGGAAGGATTGGTTCGAGGGCTTCAGGTCTTCAAAGAAAGGTAAAGAAATATATTTGTTAGGGTTCAGTGCCTCTTCTCCCTTTTATTCCCAAATTATTGTCAGCAGTTGTGTTTAAATCTCAAGAAACAATGTCTGAATACTTAGCTAGGTCAGCATAAAAGGAAGATTGAAGGATCAGATTCATGGAGATTGTAGCCATTTTAAAATTTACCTGAGTCATTGAATACTCATTTTGGAAATGTATTTGAAAATTGGGGTTAATAACTTTATGGCTTCTTAAAAAACTCCATAGGTTTGTGTGGTATACCCTACTAAATAATCTTTTTGGAAGGGGGTAGTTCCTTGGATTTGCTAACATTTGGGAGGAAAAGTAGAGATGGCTGTTCGTTATGTATCCTTTTGCCTTAAGAATTCTTAGGAAGCTCAGGAGTAGAGCATCCTAACTGGAAAACCTTGATGGTTTATGATATGTATATGATTGGTATCTCTAATTTCAATCTCCTAATCTATAACGAATAGGATTTATTTATTTATTTATTTATTTATACCATGGGTTGAACCCAGGGGTGCTCAACCACTGAGCCACACCTTGATTGCCTACATTCTGCTGCCTTTACAGTATATTTATATATTTACCTCACCCTTTCCAGATTTTATTTTTAAATTGCTTAGGGCCTCACTAAATTGCTGAAGCTGGCTTTGAACTCACTATCTTCCTGCCTCAACCTCCCAAGCTGCTGGGATTACAGGTGTGAACCATCACATCTTGCTGAAGAAGACTTTTAAGGCCCTTTCTATTTCTGCATGTAACCCTTAATAGAGTTTAATGAAAATATAAAGTGAAAAGGGTAGAAGAAGTAGCTCTCAAAAGTAATTATTTTTGGTTTTAATTACTTATACATAATCCATGAGTAACAAAAGAATAAGAGCTAGCTGTTGGGCTAGATTCTGAAATTATCATTGGGTGAACAATGGCTTTTTGTGAAATGATAATGATCGGTCATTTGATTAAGGTGGTTACATTTTGGGGGTTGAATAAATTGGTTCCATGCATGACAATCATATGCTTACATTTTAGGATATAAGGATAAAGGATAACCTTTCAGAGTGTTTCCCAACACATTGATCAGAGTCTGCATTTTTACTAGGCAACTCGTGTGCTTTTATTTTGTTTTGTTTTTTTGGTGGGGGGTACTGGGGATTGAACTCAGGGGCACTTGGCCATTGAGCCACATCCCCAGCCCTATTTTGTATTTTATTTAGAGACAGGGTCTCACCAAGTTGCTTAGCACCTTGCAGTTGTTGAGGCTGACTTTGAACTCCCAAGCCTCCTGCCTCCACCCCCTGAGCCATTGGGTGCCTGACTCTTATGCTTTTTTTATGAGACAAAATTAGGAACAACTTAAGACCTTTGCAACTTAAAGTGTGGTCCATGGACCAGCAGTATCTGCATCATTGGGAGCTTGTTAGAAATGCAGATTCTTAGCCTCTATCCAAGATCCACTGAATCAAGTTCTGAGGTTTAACATACTCTTCAGTTGACGATATACACGTTGAAGGTTGAGAAGCACTGCCTTAAAACAGTAGTTTGTAATCGCCAATGGAAAAAATTATCTAGTAATGCTTTCAAAATGCACCAGTTACCAAAACTTTGTTTTGACTGTTCTGATTTAGTAGGTCTAAATAGACCCAGGGATTCTGTATTTTTAATAAGCTCTGTGTTTTTTTCTTTGAAGCTTAGAATCTCATGGTTGTGGTAAAAAAATAACTAATCCCGTTCCTTTAACAGTTGCTCTATTAATGGTTTTGTAGCCTTTGCTGGAACTCTAGTGATAGAAAACTTGTTACTATTAGGCATCCAGAGACCTTTTTGAATAACCTAAAGTGTTAGAAAGTTTGTTAGTTTTTGTTTTCTTTTTTTCCTTTTTTAGTTTTTGCTTTCCTATTTTTAATATTTAACTGCTATAATTCATCTCCTCATTGCCTTACTTCTTTTGATTTTTGTAAACATTCTTTTTACTTATAAGCAAAGAATGTAATCAATTTATCAGATGTTTTCACTAATTACGAATAACTTTGTTTTATTATTAATTTTAGGATAAAAGCTCCAGTATATAAACGGGTAATGCCTAATGGAGAAATTCAAAAACTGATTGTCACAGAAGAGGTAATAAGAAAAAATTAATATTTTCCCTTTCAAAAGAATCTCTTCTGTGTGTATAAGGTGGGGAAGACAAAGAAACAAATCTGATCCTTCTGTCAAATGTGATTTTCTGTGATCATTTAGATATGTTTTTAGCCTATAGCTCTTTTAAAAAAAAATAATCAACTTATTACCAAAGAACAAAAGAAAACAAAGTACCTGTTTCCCATAAATGGTTTTGGAAAATGTCCAAATGTTTATATGAAACACATTTGAGGGCTAGTGTTGCTGTTCAGTGGTAGAGTGCTTGCTTATTAGCATGCACAAGGCTCAGAGTTTGATGCCCAGCACTGCAATCAATCAATAAACATTTGAGATATATTTAAATTATGATATGTTACAAAAATTTTAAAGATAAAATGTGGGAGGTTTATCTCGGTAAAAATATAAACTTTGAGCAGTTTATTTTTATTTTCTATTTATTTGTTTGTTTATTTATTTTGTTACTAGGTGTTAAATCCAGGGATGCCTAACTACTGAATCATGTCTTCAGCCCTTTTTATTTTGAGGGTCTTGCCAAGTTGCTTAGGGCCTCTTTGCTTAGTTGCTGAGGTTGACCTTGAACTTGTGATCTTCCTGCCTCAGCCTCCTGAGTTCCTAGAATTTTAGACATGTGTCACCATGCCTGGCTGAGCAAATTATTTTTAAAAATTATTTTTTTCTCAATTATTTAGTAAGTTTTAAAAATCTCACTAAAATGTAAATTCTGTGAGGCTAGTGATTTTGTCTCTTCCTTACCACTTTATTTTGCTCTTATTGATTGGTAAATGAATATACTTGTTGGAATCAGAATTTTGGCACTGTTAGGAGTATGCAGTTACCTTTCTATTATAAGATTATTACAAAGAAAAGCCTGAGTGTTTACTATCTCTTGGTATTTTTAATTGCAGACAGCTAAAATACGCCCTTTTGCAGTCGCAGCAGTTCTCCGGAATATTAAGTTTACTAAAGATCGATATGACAGCTTCATTGAACTTCAAGAGAAATTACATCAGAATATTTGCAGGTTTCTTGTTTTGTCTTATTTCCTCCTTGCTTTTTCCTCTGTTCTGCTCCTCTCCTTCCCATTCCTTTCTGTCTCCCTTTTTCTTGTTGTTCCTTTTACCTTTCCTCCCTCTGTCCATTTCCTTTTCTTCCTCTTGCATTTCTAAATTAATAGTATATGAGAGCTTACCTTTGCTTTCCGAGATAGATATTTGTTACTGTTTATAAATGATACATGCATGGAGAAATAGTCAGTAAATTTTGAGAAGAATTATCTAGTCATGGACATTTTCTTGTTTTGTCATTGAAATCATTAATGGATTATACTGCTAAGTATTAGCTGTGGTAAAGTATGGTCTCGCTTTTTTTTTTTTGTTTTTTAAATGAGGTGATTTTTTTTCTCTCTTTGTTAATTTGTTCTTTTTAGATATATATGACAGTAGAGTGTATTTTGACATACACTCAGTATAACTTATTCTAATTAGCCTCCTGTTCTTGTGGTTGTTCAGATGTGGAATTTCACTAGTGTTGTATTCATATATGAACATAGAAAAATTATGTTCAATTCATTTCACTTTTTTATTTGGTGTAGCATTTTAAAAATGAAAAAAAAAGAATTTGACTTGATCTTATTTTTTTGAATATATATAATCATGAATTAACAGATAAAATTTAAGCTTAGGACTCAGGGTATAAATCAGTTGTATAATGTGTGCCTAGCATGGGTTCAATTAATTAAGTGATTAAAAAACTTGTATAAATGACTTAATTTTACTTTTTCTATCTCTACATTAGTATACATCATTTCCTGCACAACGTTCTTTGATTCAGTGATATTTAAACCCATTAGGTCTAGGAAAATAAGAATGGGAGTATTTGAAGTAATGTCAGTATTTCAAAAATCCTAATGAAAACTGTATATTTACTGATGATGAGAAACCCCAGACTTGAACTAACATATGAAGTTTATTTGTGTTAGTCCTGAATAAGTTATATCAGGTTGAATTAAAGATGTGTTGACAGTTACATATGCTTTTAGATTATGTCTTTGTAGGTGAGATGAATGTCTTACAGGCACCTTATTGCTGGATCTTGTTTTGTCCAATCAGCCAATCTGTGTCTTTTAATTGGAGAATTAAGACCATTTACATTTAGGGTTATTATTGAAAGGTATGTAGTTGTCTCTCATTTTGTTGATGTTCTTCAGGTTTGATTTTCTCCCTGTTTTATCTTTGAGGTTTGATGGTTTGCTCCTTTGATAATGTTTTATTTTTTTTCCTGTTTTTCTTTTGTGTGTCTAATTTTCTAGTGAGACTTTTTTTTTCCTGTGCCCAAGTGATTGTGTAAATCATTCTTCTTTAGGATCTAGGATTCCCTTGAGTATCTTCTGTACTGCTGGTCCCATGGTCATGCTGCTCTAGTAGTTTTAACTTATCTTGGAAGGTCTTTTTCTCCTATTATTCATCACTCTGTTCCCTCCTGGCCTTTAGAGTTTCTGCTGCCAGGTCTGCTGCTGTTCTAATGGGTTTACCTTTAAATGTGACCTTGTGTTTCTCTTGCAGCTTTTAATATTCTGTCTTTGTTCTGTACTTTTGGCAGTTTAACTATATTGTCACGGAGAAGTTCTCTTCTGGTCAGGTCTATTTGGAGTTCTAAATGTGTCTAGTATCTGGAAGTCTTTGTCTTTCCTAAATTTGGGATTGGTTTTTACTCTTTTATCAATAAATAGGTTTCCTCAGTTCTCAGCATGTGGCTTTTCTCCCTCTAGTATGTGATCATTCAGATATTTGGTCTTTTTTTATTTTAAAGAAATTTTTAAATTTGTCAATGAATCATTTATTTTATTTATTTATATGCGGTGCTGAGAATCAAATCCAGGCCTCACACATACCAGGCAAGTGCTCCACCACTGAGCCACAATTCCAGCCCCAGATATTTGATCTTTTAATGGTATCCCAGAGATCCTGTGTGTTCTCTTCTTTTCTTTTCCTTCCCTCCCTCCCTCCTCTCTTCCTTTCTTCCTGTTTCAGTGTATTATTTTGGCAGAGTTGCGCTCAAGCCAACAGGTCTTTCGTCTACTTCATCTAGTCTATTGAGATTTTTATGAAATTTTTTTAATCTAACTTACTGAACTTTCATTTTCAAGATTTCTATTTGATTCCTTTTCAAAGTCTGTGTCCCCTTATTAATGTGCTTATTTATGTCTTGCATTGTTTTCTTTAATTCAGCTGATTATTTTTATTCTTTTGGATTGCATTTAACTTTAAGAAAACCATTTGTTTGAATTCTTTTTGAACTCTTTGTTTAACTTTCCATTCACTTTGATGACCTCTTTTTGGGTGGGGGTGGGGTGGGGATTGAGCCCAGGGGTACTTTACCACTGAGCTACCTCCCTAGCTTTTATTTTTTGAGATAGGCTCTTGCCATATTGCATAGGGCCTTGCTAAGTTGCTGAGGCTGACCTCCAAATTGTCATCTTGCCTCAGCCTCTCAAGTCACTGGGATCACAGTCATGGGCCACTGTGCCTGGATCACTTTGATATCTTTGGCATCTGTTATTAGGTAGTTTTGATCTTCAGGAGGTGTTACATAATTTGTTTCTTTTTTGCATTTTTGTTGTTTCTATGTGGAGATTTATGCCTCTGTTGGGATGGGTATATTTTCTACTTTTATGTGAGAGCTCTTTTCTGAATAAGTATCCTTTTTGTTGTGTAGTGTAGAGTTTAATTCCAACTGGGAATTCCTTGGGATTTCTGTACGATGTATTTTGACACAGGCATACCATGTTGGAGCCTGAGAACGTGTTTTCTGTGTAAGTCTTATGGAGATGGGATGCTCTGGTACTTAAGATGGGTGTGGTGTAAACAGCAGAGTATGTAGGGTGTACACTCTGGTTATTCCTTGAGAATGGACACCTCTCTCAGGTGTTGGGATTTTCCTCGGCTCTGTTGATATCGGCTGTTTCTTGAAAGCAGTTCTACTACTGGCTATTCCAATTACAGTGATAGGCCTGGGATTTTATACTCTGTGCAGACATTGGTATAATCCCATTTGTTTCTCAGAGAGAGTCAGGGGCCAGGGTCAAAGCTCCCCACTGTGGCACTCACCTCTAGTCTTGTCAACAGTAGGGTGTGGGAGTGATGGATGCAGTTCCTTGTAGATAGTACCTAGAACAGTTGTGCGATTTCTCTCTGCTGTTGCTATGCGGCGAGTGTCTAGTAGCAGGACATGTCATGCATGCTTGGGGGATATTGTCTGAGGGCTTTTATTCTCCTGTTATTTACATTGAAGTATCTAAGAAGGTTTGAATGGGGCTAGTTAATATTTTTAACTGGGCTGGGTATGTAGCTCAGCAGCCTAGACCCCACCCAGGGGGATTTGATTCCCAGGCCCAATCTTTACCATATAGAAAAAAGGAAAAGAAGAAAAACAGACAAAGAAATAAAGTGGAAGCAACAATAACACCATGAACAAGGGAATAGATGGGGAAAAATAATATAGCCATAAGATAATATTTTAGAAAAATAATAAAAGAAAAAATGGCAGAAATAAAAAATGAGAAAAGGAGGACAAAGGATAGAAAAAGAATATTTTTAAAAGGAGAAAAGACATAAAAACGCAAAAAAATAGCAGCAACAACAAAAACTTATAAAAATAATTTTTTTTTTTCCTCTGCCAGAGTGCTTGAATGAGCAGGAAAGAGTATTTGTAGTCTGTGATGATTGAGGTTTCTTTCTGTGTCTTCTTGGGCTCTATGCCTTTTGGACAGAGCAAAGGCTGGGGGTTGTTCACTCCTCCTCTTCTTTCTTTTTTGGTGCTTCTCAGTTGATTACAGGAGTTTGTTGAATGTCTCTCAGCTGCTTTGCATGGTGCAGTGAGGAAGAGCAGATCACAGAGCTCCCAGATGAAGATTCTCTCTGGGCCTGTTTTGGTTGAGATCAGGGTAGATGCCATTCCCATGGTGTGTCAAGGAAGTAGCACAACATATGAACTCCTTCAAGATTGTCTCCAGAGGTTTTTGTGCACAGAATGGGGTAACACCAACTCTGTGGCATGAGGCTGTATGTCCCCAAAGGTGGAGAGAGGCCATGGAGTCTGAAAACATCTACAGGGGGCTGGAGTTGGAGCAAGTATGGTAGCAGGTTCCATCTGATCTGCCCATGATTCCAGTGTTGCCTCTTCTGTGTCCTGTGTGCCATCACACATGCCTGCTCACTTCCCCAGACTCTGGCAGTTGGGTTATCAAGCCACAAATTCCAAAAGCAGGTGCTTCCTTAATCCCACGTGTTTCAGTCAGTGATAGAACTCTTGTCAAGTTTGTGTCAGTCATTGACTAAACTGACTGCTGCTCACTCAGCAGTGCCATGATAGTACTCAGGGGTCTCAGAGACAGGAAAGTGCAGGGGCCTTTCACTCCTAAAGTAGTAGTAAGCTCAGACAATAGGGCTCTTCTCAACATGGTTTCCAGTTGCAACACTGAAAATATGCTTGGAAGTGCAGAGAACTCTAGAACCCATTCGCCATGGAAATCTTAGGACTGTTGTCTGTTTAGACTGTGTTTCCGCAAGCTGCTGAAAACTGTGCATTGATGGTCACTGGAACTCTCTCTCTTTTCCACTCCCACCAAGCAGGGCTTCCCTTTTCCTCTACTGTGTAGGGGTACTGGGACATTCTCTATTTCGCTATCTACAGTCTCTGGGTTTCTCCAAGTCTGTCTGTCCACTATTGAACTCCAGTGTTTTCCCCATGATCATTTACCTCAAAAAGCAGCTGCATCCCAGTTGTTTCATTTCTATCTCATGGAGAAGCAGGCAAGTGCTGGGTGCTCTTAATCTGCCACCTTGTGAAGTGAAACTCAACCTCTGTTCTATACAGTATTTCTTGAGGCCATCAGCGTTCCTTAAGGAAAGAAGAGAACACATCCTTATAGCCCGGTGTGCTCGAGTCATTTCCTTTCCGGAAATACTAATTAACCTCTTAGTGAGTTTTAGAAATTTGTGTTTTCCAAGGCATATATCCATTTCAGTGTATTGCCATAAAGTTGTTCATAATGTTTTCTTACTATCCTTTTAGTATCTGTAGTGATCTCACCTCTTTTCCCCTACTTTGTCAGTGTGGCTAGAAGTTTAGCAATTTTATTGTTCTTCTAAAGAACAAACTTTTGGTTTCATTGATTTTTTTTTTCCATTATTTTTTGCCTCTTTTCCTGTTTTTAATTGATCAAGCAGTGCTTTTTTCTATGACTGACAAGTCTCTACCTTCTTACCTTTGGATTTGGCAATTGTTAAATTATCTAAACTTTCTGAATCATGTGTATTTTATCATATGGTAGTTCTGTTTATCGTCTTCCACAAGCACCTAATTCATTGAGTAAAGTAACACTTTCTTTTTGCTTGCCTGCAGTTCTATTTAACCATAGTTTATAAAGTTGTAGTTCACCACTCTTGATCAAAATTTAATATTATACATTTTCTGTTGTACTTATATGTGAAATAATTCGTAAATACTCAAATATGTGTACACATATATGTTAAACTAATTTAAAGAAATCTTAACACAAGTTCTGGCCAAATTTCTCTTTTTGAATTAATTGACTATTAAAAAACTTAGATGTAAATTTGTGACCCTCCCTGGTAAGATTTAGGCCTTTAGATTCTAATTTAGTTTTACATTTCCTAGCTTTGTTTTATATCCCTATTTCTGTTTTTTTCTTTTCTATTTTGTAGCTTACTATAAATTCCTAAAATTACCTTAAATTCTTTGTGGATAAACTATAAGATAACTGATATTAATAGCTTTTGAACTTTGTTACACAGTAAACTTGAAATGTAATTCATAGCTTTAAAATCAAGTAATATGGCTGTGACAGAAAATTTAAGAAAATAGAGAAAGTTAAAAAAGAAGAAAAACCCACAATAACTAAGTAGCTTATTTTAATCCAATATATAATTTATGTTCACAAAGGAGGACACCAAGAAGAAATCAGTTAAAGGAAGGTAAAGGGAATGCTGACTTTGAAGCTGTCCTAGTAACATAGCACTTGGGAAATCACAGTGACATGGAATTTGCTTCATATACTGAAGTGTGTTTTAAGTAGCTTTATAGTTTCTTAGTACTTGAAAAGTTGTAAGAATTTATTATAATCTACTAAAGATGCCATATAATAGAAAGTGCTGTTTTAGGGAAATGTTTAAGTTTTTAAAATACATAGTGTTATTTTTAGAATTTCTGCTTTGAAATATTGAAATCTCTTTCCCTTTTTTCATTTCCTTTCCTCCCTCCTCCTTTCCTTCTTCCTCTCAACATTTAGGAAAAGAGCATTGGTTGCCATTGGTACTCATGATTTGGACACTTTATCAGGCCCTTTCACCTACACTGCAAAGCGTCCTTCAGATATCAAATTCAAGCCTCTGAATAAGACTAAGGAGTATACAGCCTGTGAATTAATGAACATATACAAGGTAAATATTCTTTTTTATTTTGCAATAGCTTTGAATAAATCATTAGATGCATTCAAAATTGTCTTGAAGTTAGGGAAATGTAATAAATGCTTTGTAAAAAAACAACAGTTTTGGGCTCTAATCCAGAGATACTGACTGATTTCCTCTGATTTTTTTTTTATTGCTATTTTTATTTTTATTTATTTTTTGTTTTCACATTTTTTATTGGTTGTTCAAAACATTACAAAGCTCATGACATATCATCTTTCATACATTTGATTCAAGTGAGTTATTAACTCCCATTTTTACCCCAAATACAAATTGCAGAATCACATCAGTTACACATTCACATTTTTACATAATGCCATATTAGTGACTGTTGTATTCTGCTGCCTTTCCTATCCCCTACTATCCCCCCTCCCCTCCCCTCCCTCCCATCTTCTCTCTCTACCCCATCTGCTGTAATTCAATTCTCTCCCTTGTTTTTTTTCCCCTTTCCCCTCACAACCTCTTATATGTAATTTCATATAACGTTGAGAGTTTCCTTCCGTTTCCATGCAATTTCCCTTCTCTCTCCCTTTCCCTCCCACCTCTCCTCCTTGTTTAATGTTGGTCTTCTGTCCTAGTCTGTAGTTGCTCTCCTTAAATCAAAGAAGACATTTGGCATTTATTTTTTAAGGATTGGCTAGCTTCACTTAGCATAATCTGCTCTAATGCCATCCATTTCCCTGCAAATTCCATGATTTTGTCATTTTTAGGGTTGCGTAATACTCCATTGTTTATAAATGCCACATTTTTTTTTATCCATTCATCTATTGAAGGGCATCTGGGTTGGTTCCACAGTCTAGCTATTGTGAATTGTGCTGCTATGAACATCGATATGGCAGCATCCCTGTAGCATGCTCTTTTAAGGTCCTCAGGGAATAGTCCGAGAAGGGCGATAGCTGGGTCAAATGGTGGTTCCATTCCCAGCTTTCCCAGGAATCTCCATACTGCTTTCCATATTGGCTGCACCAATTTGCAGTCCCACCAACAATGTACTAGTGTACCCTTTTCCCCACATCTTCGCCAGCACTTATTGTTTGACTTCCTAATGGCTGCCAATCTTACTGGAGTGAGATGGTATCTTAGGGTGGTTTTGATTTGCATTTCTCTGACTGCTAGAGATGGTGAGCATTTTTTCATGTACTTATTGATTGATTGTATGTCCTCCTCTGAGAAGTGTCTGTTCAGGTCCTTGGCCCATTTGTTGATTGGGTTATTCGTTTTCTTATTGTTTAATTTTTTGAGTTCTTTGTATATTCGGGAAATTAGGGCTCTATCTGAAGTGTGAGGAGTAAAGATTTGTTCCCAGGATGTTGGCTCCCTATTTACTTCTCTTATTGTTTCTTTTGCTGAGAAAAAACTTTTTAGTTTAAGTAAGTCCCATTTGTTTATTCTTGTTATTAACTCTTGGGCTATGGGCGTCCTATTAAGGAATTTGGAGCCTGACCCCACAATATGTAGATCGGAGCCAACTTTTTCTTCTATCAGACGCAGAGTCTCTGATTTGATATCAAGCTCCTTGATCCATTTAGAGTTAACTTTTGTGCATGGAGAGAGAAAGGGGTTCAGCTTCATTTGGTTGCATATGGATTTCCAGTTTTCCCAGCACCATTTATTGAAGATGCTATCCTTCCTCCATTGCATGCTTTTAGCCCCTTTATCAAATATAAGAAAGTTGTAATTTTGTGGATTGGTCTCTTTGTCCTGTATTCTGTACCATTGGTCCACCTGCCTGTTTTGGTACCAGTACCATGCTGTTTTTGTTACTATTGCTTTGTAGTATAGTTTGAACTTTGGTATCGCTATACCTTCTGATTCACACTTCCTGCTTAGAATTGCTTTTGCTATTCTGGGTCTTTTGTTTTTCCATATGAATTTCATGATTGCTTTATCAATTTCTACAAGAAATGCCGTTGGGATTTTGATTGGCATTGCATTAAACCTGTAGAGAACTTTGGGTATTATCACCATTTTGATGATGTTAGTTCTGCCTATCCATGAACAGGGTACATTTTTCCATCTTCTAAGATCTTCTATCTCTCTCTTTAGGGTTCTGAAGTTTTCATTGTATAAGTCTTTCACCTCTTTTGTTAGGTTGATTCCCAAGTATTTTATTTTATTTTATTTTTTTTGAGGATATTGTGAATGGAGTTGTTTTCCTCATTTCCATTTCAGAAGTTTTGTTGCTGATATACAGTTATCCTTTGATTTATGTGTGTTGATTTTATATCCTGCCACTTTGCTGAATTCATTTATTACCTCTAGCAGTTTCTTTGTAGACCCCTTTGGGTCTGTTAGATATATTATCATATCATCTGCAAATAGTGATAATTTAAGTTCTTCTTTTCTTATTTTTATGCCTTTAATTTCTTTTGTCTCTAATTGCTCTGGCTAGTATTTCAAGAACTAAATTGAATAGAAGTGGTGAGAGAGGGCATCCCTGTCTAGTTCCAGATTTTAGAGGGAATGCCTTCAGTTTTTCTCCGTTTAGAATGATGCTAGCCTGAGGCTTAGCATATATAGCTTTTACAATGTTGAGGTAAGTTCCTGTTATCCCTAGGTTTTCTAGCGTTTTAAACATAAAGGGATGCTGTACTTTGTAGAATGCTTTTTCTGCATCTATCGAGATAATCATATGGTTCTCATCTTTAAGTCTATTAATGTGGTGAATAACATTTATTGATTTCCGTATATTGAACCAGCCTTGCATCCCAGGGATGAATCCTACTTGATCATGGAGCACAATTTTTTTGATATACTTTTGTATTCGATTCACCAGGATTTTATTGAGAATGTTTGCATCTAAGTTCATTAGCGATATTAGTCTGTAGTTTTCCTTCTTTGAAGTGTCTTTGTCTGGTTTCGGGATCAGGGTGATGTTGGCCTCATAGAATGAATTTGGAAGAGCTCCTTCTTTTTCTGTTTCTTGAAATAGCTTGAAAAGTATTGGTATTA